CTTAAGAAACCCTCGAAGTTTTATCTTGGCAAAATTTTCACCATAAGCATTTACTACCTGAAAGAACTATATTATGAACAACTTGGTAAATCATGATGTTATTACAATTAAAAAAAAATTCACCAGAACTACTGGGAAAGGGCTAAAAGTCTGAAGTTCAGATTTTTATCACATGGGAATCCTGAGTTTGATCCCCAGATTTGGCTCCCGAAATAGGGAGGCCTGTTTGGTCCACAGAATATCACCAAGAGGTGATCCCTAAACACCACACCAAGTGTGGCCCTCAGAATAAACAAAACTCCCCCAAGCACCGAAACTCTTTGAGCTGGGGAGATGGCCCAGGGGTTGGAGCACTCACTCTGCAGGCAAGAAGCCTGGTCTGATCCCCAGCGCCGTAGGGTGGGCACCTTGTGAGGAGCACTCCCTAACCATCGCCAGGTGTGAGCCCTAAACCAAAATGAAGAAAGTGATCATTTTTAAAGAAATCAAACCTCTTCCAAAGGTTGGGATATGACACAAACTTGAAGGAAGCCATGTCAAAAGGGCTCTAGTGTCGATTTCTGAATTTCATGCCTTGATCAAGCCTTTGGGTGCCTTGTTTCCTCATGTGCCCACTGAGGGCGATGGTCGTACCACCAGCTCTATGCTCTGAGGCAGTGAGAGTGCTAAACGTAGTGCCATGGCAGCATTCAGAAGACACACGGTAGATGCGGCCCTTCCAGACAAGGCCAGATCCAGGCCAGGGGAGCTGGACCAGAGTCCCGAGCAGTGTGGATCTTGATGGTGGGAGGCCCAGTCATCTCCTTAGCCCAGATCCTGGTCCTCTGAGATAGAGAGCAAGGGTGTGTGTGTGTGTGTGTGTGTGTGTGTGTGTGTGTGTGTGTGTGTTTACACGTGTGTAGATGTCTCTGTGTGTGTTTGTGTGTGTGTCTGTATGCGTGTGTGTCTGTGTGTGTAGGTATCTCTGTGTGTGTGTTTGTGTGTGTGTGCTTCTCTATTTGTGTCTGTCTGTGTGTGGTTTTTGTGCTTTCTGTCACATTGTCACGAAACAACATGCCGTAAATACCCAGGGCATATGGTCATGGCAAATTGGCTTTGAGGTGCGACTCAAACCCATTAGACCCAATAATTAGACCAGGAGTCAATTATTGATCCACTCTCTGATGAGCCTTGTAGAGTTGGTATAAGGGATCTGTTTGAGAAATAGAAAATAGACATAGGGAATAGGAATAGAAATAGAAAATAGGGATCTGTTTGAGAAATAGAAAATCTCCCTGATAGAAGTCACTGTCACTATCACTGTTGTTCATTAATTTGCTCGAGCGGGCCCAGTAACATCTCCATTGTGACACTTGTTATTGTGTTTGGCATATCAAATATGTTACGGGTACCGACAAGGTACTCTCAGTAGCTTGCTGGGCTCTCAGAGAGGGGCGGAGGAATTGAACCTGGGTTGGCCCACCTGGCCGCGTGCAAAGTAAACGCCCTACCCGCTGTGCTATGCTGATAGAAGAATGCCTAGAAAGTTCTGGGGATGCTGAAGCTGTGTCTTCCGATGCCACTAGGTGGCAGAGGAAGGTTGTAAGAGCCACCATGCCCACAGTCCCTGGGGGAATCTTCCTCCTTGCATCACCTGAAGGGTGCTTATCTGCAGGGGGCGGAGAGGGCTTTTCTTTCTAGTTCTTTCCACCCTGGGGCAGCACTGGGTGTGCATGGGATAGACTAGAGGCCCTCTACACTCTAGCTCCTCATCACAGCGGCTTGATTGTTGTCCCAGTACCTAAAAAGAAAAATATCAAAAACATAATAACCACTGAATGTGAAGATTTCAAGCCTGCTAGAACCACTGATAAGAACGGTTGCATTCCTCTTTTTGTTTGTTGGTTTGGGGGCCACACCTGGTAGTTCTCAGGGCTTAATCCTGGCTCTTCACTCAAGGATCACTCCTGACTGGGCTCAGGAGACCATATGGGATGCCAGGAATCGAACCCAGGTTGCCTGTGTGCAAGGCAAGTGCCCTACCCATTGGACTATCACTTCAGCCCCAAAGAGACTGCATTCTTGTTGATGTCTCTCAGGGCACTATCAAGAGAGAGTGACCTCAACACACAGAGAGGTCACAACACCTGACACCTGGCAGACGCGCTTCCCAGTCCTCCTACTCCAAGTGGAGGCCCAGCAACTCAGGAAATTAAATCTTTAACTCGGTGATCTCAGACATCATCCCCCTGTGAATACTGAACATACTTTCTAACACACCCAAAGATGGGACCAAATACGGAATGAGTAAGCAAGAACCAAATGTGACTGATTTAAGCAATAAATCTTCTCATTTTCGTAAATAGTCAGGTTCCAAGTCTGAACTGCAAGATCCTCTTTTGAATTCTGATGGCTGGCTGAGCTCTGATCTATCCGGACAGAGTTCAGGGTAGGCGTGATCAAGCAGACACCCCTGCAGAGGGGAATCACCCTCCCGGAAACAGCTGCTGTGATACCGTGTCAGCACCAAGTGAGGCAGAAATCCAACAGGTTTCTGCTTGTGGGATGGGAACATTCTGTTGCAATCGATGTGGTTTGCTAACAACTAATAAAAATTTCCTGCACCTTGTGTTCTATGATTCTTTCTAACTGTTGGGTGGAAATCAAAGCTACCTTTTTGAGGCCGTTAGTTTACGAATAAAGCCCAAGACTCAGGAGATAGCACAATGGGTTGGCCTCAGCCACACGGTCCCCAGTTCAGCCTGAAGTGACAGCCCATGTCCAGTACCCTCCCTGGAGTCTCTCAAACACACAAAAAGGAAAGAAAGAAAAAGTGAAATTCTGCTTCTCTCCTCCCACACGGCAGATGCTGACCGAGGGCTGGCAAGGGCCCCTTGGAGATGACAGCAGGCCACGTGGCCTGAAAGGGTTCATAGAGCGAAGCACCACAAGGCCCTGCCAGTCTGAAGGACACGTCGTCTGAGGAACGGGCATCTGGGTTTCCAAGGGACCACTGTCCGTGTGTCCTCTGGTAGGACCCTATACTCCCACCCACAGGTTTCTGTGGATCCGGACTCAGTGCAGGGCCTGAGTTTAGCTTAGGTGAGTCCTCTTGCCCAGGGCGCTTCCAACCTCTGCATTTACTGACACACTGGCAAAGCATTTTTTTTTTTTTTTTTTTTTTTGCGGAGGGGTGGGGGCACACCCAGCGATGCCCAGGTTACTCCTGGCTCTGCACTCAGGAATTACTCCTGGCGGTGCTTGGGGGACCATATGGGATGCCGGGGATTGAACCCAGATTTGCTGCATGCAAGGCAAATGTCCTACCCGCTGTATTATCGCTCCGGTCCCTGGCAAAGAAGCATTTTCTATCATCTTTCCCAGCAAAGATTCGGCTGCTTGGCTCAGGAAGTGAGCGGGAGAGGGAGTCCAGTTTCCAAGAGAAGGGCAGGTCCATTTCTTTCTTTTGGGATCTGTTTGGGGCGGGGGCGAGGGTGCTTGGGGAGGCCCACATCCGGTGGTGCTCAGATCTTAATCCCAGCTCTCTACTCCAGACCACTCCTGGGGGTGCTTGGGGGCACCCTCTGCAGTGCCGGGATGTAACCGGGGGATCGAGGTGAGAGCCTCAACTCCTCGACTATCTCTTTGGCCCAAAGACACGTTTATTCCGGGGGGAGGGGGGGTCCCGTGGAGACCATCACCATTGTTTTTCTTCTTTAAAGAAGCCCCTGGCCACCAGGAGCTAGGTGTTGGTATTCCCTGGTTTTCTCTGGAAGGTGATTGGAAAGAAGCCTCAGGAACCGTACCTGCCAGCCCAGATGTAGAAGGGAGCACCAAATGAGGGGTATTGGGAGGATCCCCCCAGGATGGGAGAAGCATGCTGAAAGTAGACTCTAGACTGAACATGATTGCCACTCGATGCCTCTTTTGCAGGCCACAGCACCCAAAAGGAGAGAGAAAACAAAAGGGAGTGCCATGCCACAGAGGCAGGGTGGGATGGGGGGATGAGGGGGGTGGGAGGGATACTGGGATTAGTGGAGATGGAGAATGGGCACTGGTGGAGGGATGGGTACTCGATCATTGTATAACTGAAACCCAAGCACAAAAATTTGTAAGTCTACAACTGTACCTCATGGTGTTTCACTAATAAAAATTTTTTAAAAATTAAAAAAAAAAAAGAACCATGCCTGTGCTGCCCAGAGGCAGGGCAGCAGAGGCCTCTGAGCTCACTTCCTGCCAGCCTCACCTCTGTCCACATCTCTAGGCAGAGAGGCGGGGATTGAGGTGAGAAGGACCACTTCTTAGGAGCGCCCAGTCAGTGCCCGCTGCCCACGTCCATAGTCACGGAGTCCCTGTGTTTCGAATTGGTGACCGTTTCCTTTCTCTCCAGCACAATCCGCCTCCCTCTGCAGCTCAGAGCCCCTCAGAGCCTCTGCTGGGGCCGGTGCGGCTGTCCCTGCCACTGCAAATCTCATCTCTGCTACATGGTGGTTTTTTTCTTTTCTAGAAAGGAAACCTTGCTTTCACTTCTGACTTTCTTATCCTAGGCAGTTTCCGCCTTCTTATTCAGGAAATTTTTCTGGAGCCACTTGCATGGGGGCGGGGGAAGGGGGGGAGTGTGTTTTTTTTTTTTGCCTTTGTAGTAGGGTACAGGCTGGAGCAATAGCAGAGTGGGTAGGGTGTTTGCCTTGCATGCGGCTGACCTGGGTTTGATTCCTCCGTCCCTCTCGGAGAGCCCGGCAAGCTACCGAGAGTATCCCACCCACACAGCAGAGCCTGGCAAGCTCCCTGTGGCGTATTGGATATGCCCAAAACAGTAACAAGTCTCACCATGGAGATGTTACTGGTGCCTGCACGAGCAAATCCATGAACAACGGGAGTACAGCGCTACAGTGGGGTATATTTCTGGGGCTTGGCTAATAGGGGGACGGGGACATATCACTAGAAAGTTGCCAACTTGCTTCCAGTGGGCAGTGAGAAGTGGGACTCTCTATTTAGGACCCGGTGATGCTGCGCTGGGAACCAGAGTGTGTGGTCCTTTCGGGCTGTTTCAGAAGCAGACAGATCATCACCCAGCACCTCGTGGTCCACACGCCTCGTCTTGTGAGGCACTGGGATTGGCAGACTTTAACTTGCTGCTTCTCTTCGGAAGGTCATGGGAGGCGAGGGCAGGGCTGCGTGGCTGAGAGACCGACATCCCTCTCAGCCTGGTGCCACACTCTAGGCACGGTGCCAACCTCGTCCCTTGGCACGAAGATCACAGATTTGAAGTTGGTGGCTACTGGCATGATGGGACTTTTTTTTTTTTTTTTTTACCAATTGTGCATGAACTGATAAGGCTCTAATCGCTCTCCCCGGCCAGGCGATGGTGATAATGAAGACACAAGGCCTTCACTGGAGATTTCAAAGGAATCCGGCTCAGATATATTGATTAAAGTTTGTGAACAGGCACCCCGATTCCCAGAAACACTTAGGGTATCATTCTGGAGCTGGGCCGCTTGCAAACGCGTCCTCTGGGTCGGTTCTCAGCTGGAGCATGACTGGAAGAGAAGAAGGTGACGGGAGGTGGCCGTGGACATGGGTTATGTCACTGTCACCTTTAGCAGTTACTATTTTAACCAGGTATTGCCTGTTCCCTGCCCGCTGGCCCGCCCTGCTCCGGCCTCTGTGGGTAAGAGAAGCGTTTTTTTTTCCCCCCGGCCCTCTCAGCAGGACTGTTGGCTCCTGGGCCATTATGTCTAGCACCGTTTTCCTGACCAAAGGCAGCCCATGTTCCTGGGCTGGAGAAAACTCCCCCGAGTTCAGGCCGGGTTGGGACACTGTGTGTGTGTCCCCTCCCAGGGCAGGGAGGGAAAAAGGGAAACGAGCCCACACCCACCTTTCAGTTCCGTTTCAGGAGGTGGAGCTGAAATCCTCTGCTCCAGCCACGGGGAGAGCAGAAGAAAACCAGGGTGAGCATCAATGAGACAAGTCCTGGAGTTGGGCCCCAGCAGCCTCTCTGGCTTGGGCGGGGGATGAAGGGCAGGCAGGGCCCTGTTCTGAGTTACCTCCCCAAGGACACAGCAAAGATCCGAGTGGGGTGAGGAGTCGGTGAACTCTTCTCAGCCTCTGCCATTCTCTGCACATTTCCGGGGACCCACGACGACAAGGAGAGGAGGTTTCACTTTGGCGGTGGACCAGGGTGACAAAGGGTGGGGAGAGGGAAGACAGAGTTATTGCCCAGTGTTGCTAGAATCAAAGTCACTTTCTGTCTCCCACACTCACTGCACTGAGTCGGCTGAAATGAAAGGGACATGCTAATGGACGTCCCTGCGTTTAACCCAAGGAGGAGACCGTGTCCAGGATGTTGTTGACCTCCCCAGCACTGCAGACTCTGATGTACGGGTATCCCTGAGGAATTGCTTTTGTTGAAGGGAGGCTTTTGCCCCTGGGGAGGGAGACCAAAGCTTCCTTCTGTTTCTTGGCTGTGAGTCCTGGGATGGAGAACGCTTGCATAGATGCAGAAATGCCCCTGGTGGGAGAGGTCAAGGCCCTTTTGGCGCCTTTCCTGAGCTTAGTCATTTCATTCTCTGGGTCCTGACAATCTGTGTGTGTGTGTGTGTGTGTGTGTGTGTGTGTGTGTGTGTGTGTGTGTGTGTGAGGCCTGGGGACCCCCTGGTAGTTCTTAGTCAACTGGGCCAGTGGGTCAACACAAGGATCTGAGGATACAGTGCTGCTCGGGGCCCCGTGGAGCTGGGGTTACCCAGGCCACCTTCTTGGCATTGGGGCTCTCCAGGGCTGTACCTGGCCAAGAACCATAAGAGCCTGAAATCAAACCCAGGCTGGGTGCATGCCAGCCATGTCCCCTAACCATTGTATTATCTACTATATCACTGTCACTGTCACTGTCCTCCTGTTGTTCATTGATTTGCTCGAGCGGGCCCAGTAACGTCTCCATCGTGAGACTTGTTGTTACTGTGTTTGGCATATTGAATACTTCACGGCGAGCTTGCCAGGCTTTGCCGTGTGGGTGAGATACTCTTGGTAGCTTGCCAGGCTCTCAAAGAGGGGTGGAGGAATCGAACTCGGGTCGGCCATGTTGGCTGCATGCAAGGCAAACGCCCTACCCACCGTGCTATCACTCCAGCCCATCTAATATATATATATATATATATATATACGACATATATATAAGCAATATATATGTGTAATAGGGTGTTTGCCTTGCATGCAGCCAACCCTGCTGACCCAGGTTCGATTCCTATTCCCCTCTCGAAGAGCCCAGCAAGCTACTGAGAGTATTTCACCCACATGGCAAAGCCTGGCAAGCCCTTCGTGACGTATTCGATATGCCAAACACGGTAACAATAAGTCTCACAATTGAGAAGTTACTGGGCCCGCTCGAGCAAATTGATGAACAATGGTAGGACAGTGTTTATAGTTACAATATTATAAATATATATATATATATATATATTATAGATCCCCCATTTTCCAGTAGCTAGGCAGTCACATCCACAAACTGCTCCCAGCAACGTGTAATCCCATCAACAGCCAAGATCCAGAGCCTATAAAACAAAGCTCCCGGAAGAGAGCAATGCAGTCTCCTGCCTCTGCGCCTGGCTGTCTTCACCAGGGCCCCTTGGAGGGGGGCAGGTTGAGTTTCCCTCCCTGCCCCAAGCAGAGCCCCAGCATTTGAGGCCATGTGACCTCTTATAGTCTAGTTCTTCCTCTTTGAGAACCCAGCAAGCTACCGAGAGTATCCTGCCTGCACAGCAGAGTCTGGCAAGCTCCCTGAGGCGTATTTGATATGCCCAAAACAGTAACAATAATGGGTCTCATTCCCCTGACCCTTAAAGAGCCTCCAATGCGGCACCATTGGGAAAGATGAGTAAAGACAGGCTGCTAAAATCTCAGGGCTGGGACAAATGGAGATGTTACTGGCACCCGCTTGAGCAAATCGATGAACAATGGGATAACAGTGATACAGTGATACAGTAATAATATATAATATGCATATTATGTATAATATGTATTATATATATATTACACTATATTACTCTGCCCCAGTAGATCACCAATTAGAACGGGTGGAGTCACCCCCGACCGTATTTTCACTTAAAGACCTTTATTTTATTTTATTTATTTATATTTTGCTTTTTGGGTCACACCCGGCAATGCACAGGGCTTACTCCTGGCTCATGCACTCAGGAGTTACTCCTGGCGGTGCTCAGGGGACCATATGGGATGCTGGGAATCGAACCCGGTTTGGCCGCATGCAAGGCAAATGCCCTACCCACTGTGCTATCTCTTCAGCCCCTTAAAGACCTTCAGAGACTGTCTAAAGACAGTCACATTCTGAAATTGGGGGCGTGGGGAGGGCTTGAACCTATGAAGCAGAGCAGGGAGGGCTGCTTAGAACTCACCCCCTAATAGGAGCTGGATTTCCCTGTGGGTACAACTGGAGTCACATTTGATTGATTTTCTTGACTGAAACTGAGACAAAGTCAGATAAGGGATTGGGAAGGTGTCCCTGCTGAATAAAGGGAAACTGTCACAGATGGTGGGAGGCGGGGGGCGGGGGGAGGAAGAACTTGGATTGATCTTTGTTGTTGTAAATTTTAGATCACATCTGACAGTGCTCAGGGCTTACTCCTGGCCCTTTGCTCAGGGGTCACTCCTGGCTGGCTTGGTCGGGGGGACCATATGGGGTGCCAGCATCAAACCTGGGTCGGCTGCAGGCCAACATCCTACCCGCTTTACTGTCACTGGGCCTCACGGGAGGAAGGGCTCGGGATGGCATCATGTGGGGATCGGCTGAGGCTACATCTGTCAGGCTCACTCCGAGTGCAGAGGCAGTACACCAGGAAAAGGAGATGGACACGGGTGCTCCCAACTCTCCCACTTTCTTAGAAATGTGCACCCAGGGCGATCCTGTGGATCAGACGTTCAGTGATTTCTCTCTCGCTGCTGAGTTCACACCTGCCCCATCACAGCTGAGTCGGTGCGACCCATTTACAGCAAGTGAAGGGAAACAGGTGAACGCAGCGAGCATTTCACTGCAGAGGGAGAAGGCTGCTGCTTTGCCTTCTTCCACAGCTTCCTTGTCCAAGCCCCTCCGTGATGCCTCCTTCCCATCTCAGCCCCTGCTCAGGATCTGGAAATTCAACGTAATGCGGAGGTCACTGGGGGCTGGGGAACAGAGGTGTCCGTGGGCTCAACTCAGCTGGGGCAAAAATGAAGATTTGGAGATTGGAGACTGGAGATCTGATGCCGGGAGGCCAATGTTCTGCACACACAACCATCCTGTGCACATGCACACACAGGCACACACACACACACATACACAAGAGTACTTACTACACACACAGGTGCAGCACACACAGGCATGCACACACACACAAGTGTACCACATGCACACACATACACAAAGGCATACTACACATATACACACACAGGTGCATCATATGCACACACACACATACATACACAGAGGCATACCACACACACACAGACACACATGCACGCACGCACGCATGCACACTGCGTGCACACATGGGCCCCGGCATATGCTCTTGCAGACACAGAGACCAGGAGAGCATATGTCTGTCCTGGAGACAGCAAGCAGGCTGGTGTTTTCCCACTCGGGATGCCTGTCTGTGCCCAAGAGGCTCTGTGGTGCCAGGGAGTAAAATCTGACCGCCGTGCTCCTTGGGATCCTACTGTCGCATTCTGAAACTTCCTTGTTGAGCCAGGAGTGGAACAACCACACCTCCTGCAGCAGGACTGGGGCTCCTTCATGTGACTGGTGTGTGTGTGTGTGTGTGTAGCGAGGGGGAGGGGAAGTGTGTGGCAATGACTTCTCTTGGGGGAATCCAAGAACCAGGTGGGAGGTTTTGATTTCTTTCTGGTTCTGAGTCCTAAGTGTGAAGCTTCATTGTCCAGGGGGAGGGCCAAGAAGAACTCACAAATCCACAGTCCCAAAACAAGCATTGTGACCCACTGAGGCAGAAAGTATCCTTGAACACTAAGGTAGGCAGGAAGAAAAGAAAAGAAAAAGAGCCAAAGCGAAGGACAACTTGTTACATGCACAAACACAAAGCCCAAAGAATGGGAAGAAAAGGGATGTTAGAAACGGCACTTTTTCACTTAGGACCAAGAGGCAAATTTGGTAGCTTAGAAACTCCAGGTCTTTGGACCTCGAGTTTGCTTGATTTCTGAAAGAGGACTTGAAATGAGAATGAAAATCTCCAAATAGCAAACAGCATCAGCAGCCTCGCGGGCCAGAGCTCACTTCCCCACTCTTGACATTTCATTAGAGCAGGAAAACCACAAAACCAGCGAAGATGTTATAATTAACTCCAAGCCCCTGTGCTGACTAGCAGTTTGTGCCTCAAAGGCTCAGCGCAATGCAAGACGGGTTAGTTAGGACTCCTCTCAGAAAGAAAAAAACACACACACACACAAAACAAGAATGGAAGTCTTTGCTCCAGGGAGGTCTGATTTCATTATATCCATCTCATTTACTGTTGCCAGCCCCAAGGGAGTCATTTCCATGTGACAGTTATCTTCCTCAAATTGAGATCAAAGGAACTAACGTGCTTTCATAGCAAATAACCAGACCAAGTTTGACTCCTTAAAGCAGAGATGAAGGTGTGAAGGTGATGGAAGAAAATTTGGAGAAATATAAAAAGGAACCCCCCAGAAAACTATCTAAAGGCAGAGAGCTAATACAGCGGGTAGGGAAGGCACTTGTCTTGAATGTGACAAGTGACTGAGTTTGATTTCCGGCATCCCTTAAAAAGTTCGATAATTGGGGCTGGAGAGATAGCACAGCAGATAGGACGTTTGCCTTGCATGCGGCTGACCCGGGTTCGATTCCCAGCATCCCATATGGTCCCCTGAGCACCGCCAGGAGTAACCCCTGTGCATCACCAGGTGTGACCCAAAAAGCAAAAAAAAAAAAAAAACTTCGATAATCACTCCTTACAGAGTCAGGAGTCAGTCCTGAGCACAGCAGGGTGTGACCCCCTAAGCCCAAACAACAAAAAGTGAAGGCAGATTTGCTGAACTCCCAGCCTTCCTGGTGAAGGGGGAGAGCGGGGGGGAGGAGGGATGCAGGAGACAGATGCAGCTGGTACCCAGCCCTCCATCTGGGGCAACTTTGCTGCATTCCCCATGACT